CAATTGACACACCGGTGCTTCTTATCACGCCCAACACGTGCTATTTCTTGTAAGTTCCGTATTTTTTTCCGAATTCTCACACGTAATTGTTTTGAATTCTCACAAAAACCTTGTATACGCGTGCTAATTAATGAATCAAGCCATACAACTTTCATTTTAACCCATGTCACTTGCAAAAATAGTTAAATTGGGATAATTAAAAATAGAAACTAATGACAATAAATAATCTAAATTTTTTTTTGAGTAAAACTTTTGAAATAACAAACTAAAAAGATAAAAAAAAAAAGTATGGATTGCCCTACATTACTGCTTTGTTTTAAGTCTTTAAACTTGACTTTTGGATAAGTATTCGTCAAATAGCGGGTGTTGCCTATAGTATGTGCTAGGTGGTATTTTTGTAGTATTTTTAATGTAGTTTTTATTATAATTTTTAGTATTTTTAATTACTTCAATTAGTTTTCATTTAGTTTTATTTATATTTTTGTTTAAACTTTATTGAATCATATTTCACTTGATTTTTGAGGAATTTTATAAGATTTTTATAAGAAATTAGCCAAAAAAGTAATAGAAGATCAATTGTCAAAAACTTCTAGCAAGTAGCACACCCAGGGCATGCTATCTAGCACCCTCGTGCTACTCTGCGGAGCTCAACTTGGGCAAAGATTCTAAAAAGCTCGTGCAACTTTCATGGGTCTACATGAAGATATTGTGGGACGTGCCTTATTAAAACTGGAGTCCCATTTAGACGCTAGGAGAGTCCTAATTGGGAGGAAGTACAAAGTATAAATAGTTTCCTATCTCCAAAATGTTTCTTTCTCAATAGAGATTCACTTTCCTTAACGAATTCGAAGATATTCCAGAAAGTCTATATAAATAAATTGGGAGGAAGTACAAGTAATAACAAAGTATAAATAGTTTCCTATCTCCAAAATGTTTCTTTCTCAATAGAGATTCACTTTCCTTAACGAATTCGAAGATATTCCAGAAAGTCTATATAAAGAGAGAGACTAGTTATAATTGAAAATTGTTGATTGTATATTCTATCTTTTGTTCCATTGTTCTCTAGTTTATTTTAGTTTTTCCTTTTCTAAGACTTCAAGTATTCAAGTTGCGATCAAGATTTAAGAAAGCCACTAAAGCCAATCGTTGTCTAGTTTTTATTCCTAAACTCTTTTTTCTTTTTTTTTGTGTATTATTCTTTATGGAATTATTTATAAGTTTAGTTGAGTTTGTTTTATTCACCATGTCGAACTAAATCTTTTTACTAGGTATATGATGTAGCTTAAATTTAATTCCAGTTTATAATATTAGACTTTGTTTTCTTTATTTAAGTAAAATTTATTATTGATCTTAATGCTTCAAAGTAGAGTTTCTCTCCTAGATTGATTTATTTCATTAATCACTGCCGAGAGAAGGGTTTTTGACATGAATAGGGTAATGAATTTCATGGGAATAACAACTTGATGCGAGAGCTAGATGGTTTGACTTGTGCGAAGTTTTCATAAAATTAAAGGCCTTAATTTGTGAATTCCTGAATAATCACAAGAACTTAATGAGTTAATCACAAAACCTTAATTTCATTTCAACAACTTCTTGCTTGGTCTCACTCTTATTGTTTTACTTTAATTCTTTTATTTTCAAATACACTCTCTTTATTGTCGTTTAAATAATAATAGATTAACACAATTTTATACTTAGTATACAATCTTCGAGGGATGACACTCTACTCACTCTTTATTACTTATTTGCGAATTCGTGCACTTGCGAAAAAACGTGTCAATATGTATCATGTAATATCACATATTGTCTTGGTTGAAAATGCCTTCAAGATTAGCTGGTTTAGAAAAATTTATGCTCATCTTGTCAACAATATTTGGCTTCGAATGATTAACCTGGGGAAGAAAATATTGTAAGTCATCGCGAACACAATTTGTTGGTGGTGGTATCATTGGACAGAAAGGATCTTCTAGTGTGTATGTATAAAGACCATTGACGAGCTCAAATCAATAGTTTCAATTATCTCCTTATCCACCAATTTGTTTTCTGTTTGTCTTCGTTTAGAATCTCACTCAGTGCCCATTCCAATTGTACCTCACTTTCTTCATAGTCATTAACAATTATGTTTGGAAGCAAGAAAGTGTGACTTAATTCGTCGTCAAAGGAGTTGCATTCTTCACATGTAGGCTTTTTTCTTCTAAAGGTGCAACTTCCTATGAAGTTTCCTCATTATCTAACTTGCATTCCTCATTTTGAGATCTATTAGTTACCATAGTTCTGCTTGTGCCTCTAAATTCTTGATAATCTCTTGTTGGATCTCAAAAGTCTGGCGATTTTGATTCATAAATTCCATGTGAGATTTAGTAATGTAGTAATCAAATCCTCTAAATTGTTCTTCTTCTCTTTTTCATACTCAAAATTTGGAGGCTATTGGTGATTCCAACCCTACAGTGAAGGATTCCAATGCCAATGGTAGTCAAAGTTCACCATATCGTTTAACATATGAAGTACATCTTCTAACTGATTTCTGGAAGGTGTATACCGGTTACCGAAAATTTACTATCTATCCAACTTCTCGTTTCTTCATCTAAAGCAAGTAGAATAAGAAATTGAGATATTTATTTATAGAATTATGATAAAAAAAATCTCTCCAACAAATCGTTAAACCTTGCCCAAGTGGTATAAAATAGCTCCTAATATTGTTGACTAAAACTTGCAACCACTTGTCAATGAAATATCTAAAAATAATTCACAAGAAAATAACAAAAGTAACAATCAATAAAATAAAGAAAAACTACAAATAATATAAATAAATATTTTAATTAATTAACAAAAAAATTAAAATTAAAATATCTAAATTATTAATATCTTAATTGATATTGATATTGGTAACAGCGCCAAAAACTTGACAAACAAATTCGCAAGTGTATAAAATCGCAACAAGTAATAAAGTGAGAGTAAAATATCATCCCACAAAGATTGTATACCAAGTACTAAAATTATGTTATTCTACTATTATTTAAACGACAATAAGAAGAATAATTCTAAGAAATTAATTTAAAAGAAATAAAGAGAATAAAAGAAATCAAGTAAGATAATTTGATGAAAAGAAATCAAGGATTAAAGGCTACTAGAGATTTTAACTTCAGTTAAAATTCTATTCAATTTATTCTATTAATTTGATAGTCAATTTTAATTATTTAAGAAAGAGAAATAACCCTAAAATCGATAACAAAATATCCCGATGTTTTATTAGCTATTTTAACCCGATCTAATTACTTATTTTCTAATAGCGCAATCAAATATGAAGAAAATCATTTAAGATTTATGGTTGTTTATGAATTGATAACCTTAACTTATAAAAAACCCCTTGAGTCAAACCATATAGCTTCCGCATCAATTTGTTATTCTCATGTTTTTCTTATAAAAACCCTTCTCCCAATAATGATTAATGAAATAAATCAATGTATGGGAGAAATTATGTCTTGAAGTATTAAGTTCAATAATGATTATACTATGAACAAGGAAAAGAAAATCTAATATTATAAATTGGAATCAAAATTAAGTCACATCAAATTCCTAGTAAAATATTTAATTCAACGTAGCAATTAAATTAATCGCAAATAAACTTGTAAATGTTCTCATAATCAACATGAATATTGAAAATAAACAAGAATAAGAGTTTAAAATTAAAAACTAATAAACAAATGGCTTGTAGCGCTTCCTTGAATCTTGATCTCCAACTTGATTACTTGAAGTCCTGTGAGGAGAAAATGAAGTAGAGAATAGAATATGAAATAATGGATGTGATGTGAATGAATCCCTATTTGGTGTAGAGATTTCTCCTTATATAAATTTCTTAGGGCTTCCTTGAGTCTAATTAGGAAAACCACTTAACTTGTTGAGGAAGAAATAGAAAACAATTAAGTTTTGTATCTTTCCAAATTAAGAGTCCAAGTTGATCAATTTGGATGAAACTCCAATTAGGTTGTAACTTTGTGGTGCTCATCCTTCCTTATTTGATATTTGACAAATTCCTAAATAAACCCTACAAAACCTTCCAAAATGATACCAAATAATAAAGGAACTAAAATTAACAATTAAACAAAATCATAAATAAAACTAAATAAAAATTAATTAAAGTAATTAAAAATATTAAAACAAGTTGATCAATTTGGATGAAACTCCAAGTTAAGGTCTGTAACTTTGTGGTGCTCATCCCCACCTTCCTTTATTTGATAGGTTGGAACAAATTCTAAATAAATAAACCCTACAAAAAACCTTCCAAATTGGAGACCAAATTAAATAAAGGGGAACTAAAATTAACAATTAAACAAAAGTATAGAATATAAAACTAAATAAGAAATATAATTAATAGGAGAATTTTAAAAATATTAAAAGATCCTAATAATAAAAATTAATTAAAGTAATTAAAAATATTAAAAATCCTAATAAAAATTATATTAAAATACTTATAAAAATAAAGCCTATCAGAACATAGAAGGAAATGACAAAAAAAGACTATTGATGCTAATATTTAATAAATTTTCCTTTTATTTACTTACACAATCACCACATTAGGTGAAACAACAATAGTTAACATATATTGAGGAGTCAAATAGTATTAATTTATTTAATAACTGAATTCAATATAAACGCATAATGGATGCATATCAAATAATAGCCTAGTAATAAATGCATGTATAACTTGACAATAAAATATAATGGATAACGATTACGATGGAAAAAAAAAAAAAAGTAACATTTATTTTTTAATTTTTTTCCATTTAAATAAAATGAGTATATATCTTCAAACTGGGTCAAATAAAGTCAGTGAAGGCAGCTAAATTTGTCCTTGCACTTAAAAACTATGGGCAAGCTGCCCATTCCTAGATGACGTTTAACAATTGCAATTTGCAAGACTCACCACTGCACTGTATCTCTTCACAGCCAAAGTGAGACTAAAAATTTTTAGTATAAATAAGATAGATACTTCCCATACTTAAATACCCATTCTTGATTTTGTGGAGGAAAAAAGATAGATATGGTGAAGAAACAACGCTTGTTGATTGCTTTAGCATGGCTGCTAGTGGTGGCATCGATTGCCATTTCTGCAAATGCAACAGCTGCCCCTCGCCTGCGGGCATCTGAAGATGTGGTTCATCCCCAAGGTAAGAAATTATTACTTTCTTTTCTTTTTTTTTTTTTTTTTTAAACCCGTTTTTTTTTTTTTTTTTTTTTTTTTTAAACCCACGAGTATCTGTAAACCCTTTTCAATATCAGATTCATCCTGTTCCAAAATTTGTGACTATCCCACTATATATAAGTATTCATAGATCGGACCCTGATTGTCCGCTGAATTTATACGTGTCTTATCCTTGGGTTATTTCTTAAAGTTTTAAACATATTTTTTTCTTTTCTTTTATTTTCTTTGAGTTTTTTTAGCTTTAAAGTCTTCCCACCTTACGTTAGAAGGCATATTCTCTACTTAGTTCCATAGCCATTGTTATAGGTCTGCTTGACATCATGATTTGATTTATTATTGAATAAAAATATCATAATGAAAATGTTGATTATAAATTATAATTACATGTAATTCTTAAGGTGAATTTTTTACTCTAATCATAATAATTTAAAAAAAAAACATATAAACAATATTTTCAAAATATTTCTTTTTAGTAAAATCTAAAATTATGTTTTTAAAAATTTTAATTTAAATCTTAGTGACAAACAAATTCTGTGAAATTGTGAAATTTGATGTACTAATTAGTGTTGTATTAATTTGAAGGTTGTCGCTGCTGCTTTTTCGTGGGTAGGGTTCCAAATCTCCGTTGTGGAAAAGTCTGTTGTGGGGACGATTGTTGCTTCTGATGAATCAATGGGAGTAATTATGTAATTCATCAAATATAAAAATATGAAAGTATATTGTTATATTTTGATATCATGAATAAGAAGCTCTTTACAGTTTTTATGCTTTTTTAAATAAAAGTTTTATATTAATGGTACGGTTCGATTGATTTTCTTTTTTTATATATATATATATATATATATACAAGAATGTGAAAAGTGAGGGATTTTAGATTTAAATCCTGTTGACCATAAAATTTTTTTTAACTAATTTAATGAATTAAGAAAAATTTTCCCTTATTGTATATCTCATGGTGTCCAACCTATTAGACTTCCCGAGAAATGGAAATAAATAAATAAAATATTATATTCTATATTTCTATATTACTCGTGACTTTATAAAAATTATCTGTTGAATTGAAGCGTAACTTACTATTTCATCTGCTCCATATAATTTATTTAAAGCTTACCAATAACGTAGATAATGTGAGTTTTATAGTTAAAATAAATTTTAATTCTTTCCACCTTTAATGATTATGTTTATAATTTATATAATATCATATATAACTCTTTATATTCTTAGTTACATAATTTTTGAATGCTATTACAATAACAAGTCATAAGAAAGTATTTTCTTACACTTGTTCATGAGATTTTCACTCTTCAAAATTAATGTTGCGTTTGGTTTATTTGATTCATGTAGCTGATAGCTGTTTTGTATCTAACAGTTAAATTGTAAGTGTTTAATAAGTTTTTTTAATCAGCAATTGATAGCTTATAAAAGTCCCTCTCAGCTGTTTCTATAAACTCGAATTATGAGCTTTTTCGTATCAGTTCGTAGCTGATTCGTGTTTATATTATTTCGGACTTCATTAACTTTATAAAAGATAATTATTAATAAAATTATTTTTTTCTAAATTAATATTTTTTATGATAATTTCGTTTATAATTATTTAAAAATTTTCTTAAATATTATTTTAAAATTGTAATTAATATTTTTATTTATATAATATTTTAAAAGAAAAAACAATGTATTCACCTTAAATTAAAAAGATATATATGCACATTATACATCATAATATATAAAAATAATTATGCTTACAATAATCATTTTATATTTTAACAACAACCGTTGTTAAAATTTTTCCAAACATGAACAATAATCAGCTAACTGCTGTCAGCCATCAACCAGCAGCTATCAACAATCGCTATCAGCTATTAGCTAGTATGAATCGCTGAGCCAAACATACCCTAATAATACTATTAGGGGATATTACTAAGGTGATATATTGGATTAAGATTCTGTTAGATTTAAAAAGATTTTAAAATTCCAATGGTATTCAATCTAGATTTTTTTGAAGTCTATTAAAATTTTATGGTATTCAATTCAAACTCTTATAAAATCCATAAAAATTTGATGGTATTCAATTATGACTTTTAAAAGTCCATACAAATTTGATGGTATTCAAAAAAAATTATTGATTTGGAAGGATTTTATAAAATTATTGATTTCATTGGATTTTAGAGTGTTATGCATGAATAAAATAGACATTCACCAATTCATTCTCTAACCTAAAGATTTCAAAAAATCTTTTAAAATCTAACAGAGTATTCTTAATCCAAAACCCTTAATAAGGGTGGAAGCGAGCGGGTACCCACAATTTTAAACTATCTGTATAGATATCCGTATAAAATTTTACTATTCGTATCCGTCCTTAACCGTTTACATACCCATTTAAGTACCTATATTTGAATCCGTTTAAATTTTTACTATCTGTATTTATCCGAAACCCGTTTAAAGTACTTCTTAAATAGGTAAGATACCCACAAATCTTAAACTATTCAAATTTGAACTTATTTAAAATACATTTTTTTACTAATAATAGATAGGATACCCACGAATATCCACTACCAAATCTGTTTAATATAGCGGTTAACGGATAGCGAGTATCCAGAGATCTATACTCGTACCCTACCTGTATACATTATAGGTAGTAATTTCACTATCCATATCCGTTATGTATAGTAATTTCATTATTCATTTCCTTTCCAATCCATTTACAACTACCACATAACCTCTTTAAACGGATCAGAGCAAGCAGTACCCTAAATACTCATACCATTTCCATCTCTACCCCTTAGAGTGTAAAACAATGTATTAATTATTGGATTAGTTTTCGAATTAATTCATGTGTTGAGAATTTAATATTTTGACAAAAATTAATATTAATGCTGCTGCAAATTTTTCAAAATTAATTTGATTATTTTTAAAAAATTTTATGCGTTGATTTCAATTAAATAATGATTTAATCAAATAAAAAATTGAAAAAGCTTTGAAATAGTCAAAGAACTAAAAAAATACAGTCTGTCATTATTGTGACCGGACCCGCCAGGCTTCGTGAACCACAAGTGGTGGGCCGTGCATCAGGCCTGTCTTGATGTGCTCCGCCTCCTTGCGAGCGCTAGCAGTTGGGGCAAGTCCTGGCTAGCGGTGATTGCTAGTTTTCGATTTTAGAGTGCTTCATAGGCATTTGAAATTTGGTATAAACAAGTCATTTATTTATGACACGAATATAAACGTGTTGTGTTGCGGATTAACACGCAGGTTAGGCGAGTGACCCGTTTATTTAAGAGTAAAAAGGTAATTTTAGCGTTAGATATAAATACTTCAATTAAAACCTATTTAAATTTTATTTTCAAGAGTAAAAAGGGAATTTAGCGTAGATATAAAAGCTCAATAAAACCTATTTAAATTTTTACTTGTATATTATATTACTTTTTTATTTTAATTATAAATCATGAAGAATTTATACATTTTACATGTGAAACTTTATTTTATTTTTAAATATAATTGAAGTTAAATAGGTTAAAAGTTAAAAATACTATAAGCAGGTTAAATGGGTTCTATGTAGGTCACCACATCCACTTAACCTATTTATTAAGCGGGTTACACGAGTTGTATATGGGTCACCACCCACCTAACTTGTTATGATAATAAGCGGGTTAAACGTGTCGTGTTCATGTCAACCATCTAATTTTTATATTGTGTTTGTGTCGAAGTTATAAAAAATTCGGGTTAAACGTGTCGTGTTCATGTCAACCATCTAATTTTTATATTGTGTTTGTGTCGAAGTTATAAAAAATTATTTCATCATTTAATATTGTTCCACGTATCGCGCGGGTTCTAACACTAGTTTAACTTAACAACATTATAAATACTATATTGACATTGTCGTGTACATATAATCTATATATACATAAAAGTAGAGTCATTTGCATTATATGCAAGCTAAATGTGAGTCTTTGAAATTGTCAAATGTGTGGAGGATAATAATTAGTTAGGACAATTGTAAAAAGATGAAGTATTTTATATTTTTTAAAAGATTTCATAAATTATTAAAACATCAAAATAAAAAAACCAAAATAAAAACAGTAGGTACCAACAATTCCTTCACACACGATATATACTTACAACTTTATTTATTTATTTATTTATTTTTATTTTTTGACATTTCCCACTCAGTTACAAAACTCTCTTCTCTCCCTCACACACTGTCAAAATCCAATCATTCTTGCAAAACCGAATCAATCATCAAAATGAAAGCAAAAGTGGGTAACTGTGTTCTAGAAGCCCGATTCAAGATCTCAATAATGGTGGCGCTGGTGTTAGTAACGGCTCAACAAGGAGGGATTTAGTAGTAATGGTAACGCTTCTTCTATTTCCTCCATTGAAGCTCCAAAGGGTTGTCTCAGGTTCTTTCTTCTCACACTTCTTCTTCTGCAAAAACTCCTTTCATTAATGGTACTAGAAAAAACCGTTAACATTCAATTTCAATCGAATCCCTTAACAGTTGTAAGGAGACGCATCATGATTTAAGTTAGGGTTTCGAAACACATTGCGGGATCAGGATGAGAACCTCTTGCTATAGAGGTTTATGACCCTGAGGGAAGTCCTATCTATTCTGCTTCAGAGTGTCCGTTTCTCAGTGAACATGTGAACTGCCAAAAAAAATGGAAGACCAGATTCTGAATATGAGAGATTGAGATGGGAAGCCAAGGGGTGTGAAATTCCAAGGTAATTGAACTATTTTCAAGTGCATTCAACCAATCCCAATTAGTTACATTATATGTATGTTTAACAGTTTTTAATTGAGGTTAGTTTCCAAGGTTTAATGGCGCTGACATGCTGGGGAAACCTAGAGAGAAGAAGGTGATAATAGTTGGAGATTCTCTTAACAGAAACCAATGGGAATCACTTGCTTGTCTTCTTTATTTTGCCATACCTTCCTCTCGAGCTGATATTGACTGTTTGAGTGGTGCTTACAAAGTCTTCAAGGCAAAGGTAATAAGAGTCTATAGAACCTTCCTTTTTCTTTTTTGGTGATTGTGAATTTGCAGGTTTTGAACTGCTTAGAGAAACTTGACAGCGTAGGGTCTGTTGCTCTGACAGGATTACAATTGCTCTGTGGAGTTCTACTGGAGCCCATTTCTGTTGGAACTCGATGAAGGGAAGCAAGCAAATGAAGTAGTATTCTAAGGCTTGACAAGTTCGCACCATGGCTGACTTTATGGTTTTCAACACAGGCCACTGGTGGAGACACCCAAAAAGTATAATGAAAGTAACTTCAATTATACTAGAATCATCGTTTGCAACTGTAAATTACGTCTATGTACTTATTTGGTAGTCGGATTTATTTCAATATGATGGAAGATTGGTGGAGCAAATGGATATTGAATCTGCATTCAAAATTGCAATAGGGACATGAGCAAATTGGATTGACCAGAACGTTGATATGACAAAGACAAGAGTCTTCTTCCGGAGCATATCGCGCAACCTACAATTAGAGGGATGGCGCAAACAACAATTAGAGGGATGTAGACACAGGTCCGGTACCCCCAACATCACAAAGATATCAGAGGATAGAAGAGACGCATTATCCAGCTATCTATGTTTTGACAGCTATCACCTGAACATCACAAAGCTATCAGAGTATAGAAGAGACGCATCATCCAGCTATCTATGTTTTGACAGCTATCGGCAGAGATCAGTTAGCATTTATCAGGATTCTGTTATTCATTTTATAATATTTTGTTCGAAGGTGAAGTCTTGATGCTTATCTCATGTATCACAGTTTATATATTTTGTCTTCTGTTGCTGTCAAATTTAATCCTTCTTTGGTTTTATATGGCCCAGGAGCTACATGGCTGTGTTTGCTATTAAGATTAGATGTCATTATTGACTAGAAATTTATCAAAAGGTTACAAACATTAATTCTACTGTTAAGAAGTAGGGATATGACAATTCAGTGTTTTCCTCTATTTCACGCAGTAATGGTGCAAGGGATCGACACCGAAGCAGGAGCTAAGAGGTGCAACCTCGATGTAAATTGCTTTGCGGCGATGATGCTGAGATTGAGTTTGTGTATTATGTTTGGACTTCAAACGCTGATATGCCTCTCTCACTCTGTAATGGATTTCTTTTATCTAAGTTTAAAGGACAAAGAGCTGCTTCAAACGCTTCTGGCAGGTACAGAACTTTGATTTTTTTTGTTTCTCATAACGTTTTTGCTTTTGCTTTTGTTGCAGCCGTTACTGATATTGATACCAGTGGCATTCATGCGTTGGAAAGTTATACAAAAGCCTCCAGAAGAATTGTAGTGCGGGTTAACTTCCTTTTCTTTTATCTTCTCAAACTAATATTAGATTTATGGAGTTGTAGTGCGGGTTAACTTCTTCTTTTAAAATCGAGCAAGAGTCAAGAGTTGTAGTGTGGGTTAACTTCTTTTTCTTTTATTTTCTCCTAATAATATTATATTTATAGAGTTGTAGGTGCGTTTATATTTTCTTAAATTCTCAAAATTGTTAGGTGTGATATCTGAGAAACGTTATCATTGGGTTTAGATCATGCTTCACAAATTGATTACATCAATCACGTGAACCAAATAAAGATGCAGTGGAATTTGAAGGTGGGTGTGGTGCAATTGTTGCTGTGCGATTGTGGCAGGTTCCACAACGCGATAATCGAAGCAGTGCTTTCTCACTCGAGATGGCGCTACAGGATGGAAAGGTGTGTATTACTATTTTCTTCCTAGAATTTCATCAATTTGATTTCTAAAATTGCATGAATGCACTCAAAACACGAATTAGTGTGTTTTTTATTTACATGTCCTTCTCTTGTTTTAATATTATATATTGCAAGTCCAAGCAAACTCCAGTATAACTCAAGCTTGAAATCCCAAAGCCTCTTGGGTTTGTATAAGTTTCTTATACTTATTACTATGTTGGTTATTTTCTTTTAGGTATCCTAGATATTTGTAGGAATTTGCAGAAAGAAGTTTCTGTAGGTATTTATTATGAGTTTAATGAGACAGATTGTCCCTAAGACTGATGCTAAAAATTTATGCTTTTCTTTTTGTGTTGAGGTGTCGTCTGGTCTGCTTTGTTGGTTTTGTGCTTCTACACTTGAGGTTTCATTCTTGGCTGCTCTGCGATAGGATCTTCAGTTTTGAATGTTTGGGGTCCCAGCTAACTACATGTCTCTGCTTCTGTTTGATTGAACTTTTCTTTCTTTCGGTGCTACAGGATATAAAGGCGTGTATTACTATTTTCTTTTTTTCTTTTTTTCGGTCATTCGTAAATGAGTTTGCTTTGTTTTAGCAAAAACCTGGTTTTTTAAATTTTGTCAAGAAACAGGTTCTTTTTATTATTATTTTGAGATCCAGGTTTCTAAATATTTTTCTTTTTTGAATTCTTTTTTGGTTCTTAGTTATTTGGTCCCTTGAAGTTGTTTGTTACGTCTTTGAATCAAACGAGATGTGTACTTCTAATTCTCTTTGATCTTTGTTTTAGCACTTTCTTGTTATTAATTTTTTTTAAACTTTATTTTTATCTAATTTTTGAATCGCAAATGCAATCATATATGTTCCTTATCCTTTCTGTATTCTGCCCTTTATTCTTATGAATTTTGTGATATCATTGCTGTCATGGAACAACTTGAACATGTTCAAAGCTTACCTACATTGACCATCTGATTTTAATTTGCTGCAAATATACTGACTGAATAAGACATTTTTATTTGTCTGACAATGTATGATTAAAGTTACATATTAGATGCTCAATTTTGAAGAAAATCTAACTGAAATTGAGATGAGATAAATTTACTTTAGCCTGAGCGCAGAGTGAACTTTACAAGTAAATGTAACTATGCATAGAGTTAAGAATTTATTTAATGTGATGCTCAAGTACTTATGAATCAGTTGCTCTCTATAGATACTTGAAAGTGTTTCAGCTAGATGCTTTATACAAATTTAGTTTGTTCGAGTGATCCAACTTACAGAAAGCAGTAGTTGTTCAAGGAGTTAGTAGATTATATTCATCTTTATCAGACCTCTTCGGAGGTGAGCTAATGGAAGAAGCACTTGAACCTTTTATGAAAAGTGCTTCTTCTTCAACTACACCTATAACCGTGATTAATATCGCTCAACATTTAAGGCAATGAGAAGTGAATTAGGAGAACATAATTCACAAAAATAAATTGCTTTCTGGATTTTTTCTTTTTTTTTTTAAGAATTAGGAAAATTGGCCTCTGTAACATAGCAAGCATACTATCAACTGTTTCCTGAACTTTTTTCAATATCAACTATTTCCTGAATTGAAAAAGGATTTTTGTATATGAAAATAGGAAAGAATGAAAGTAAACCCACCATAACTGAAGTCATAAGTAGCCCATTAACGCTTTGTTGATAATGATAATCCCAACAGAAGTGACAACATTGACCATCCATGCAGCTGCATCTACAGCTGCCTTTTTATCAGCTTTGCTAGCTGGAGCCATTTTAAATTACTTAGCGAAACTGATTATTTCAAGACTTCTACCCTTCGGCCTCCCTGCAAAAGTCCATCTACACTTAACGGAATAGAAAATGATTATTTAGCTCCCCTTAATACTTAAAAATAAGTAATTACGGACTAAAAAGTAAAAAATATTAAATACACATTCCAAGTCTGCAAATGGGAAATTATAACTGTAGACAATACACAGAAAAATATGCTTTTTTTTAAATAAAAAGAAAAAAAAAATTGCAAGACGTGATTTAACCAGCTTATGATACTAAATTATTATCGAATTCAACACAACAATTCAATCAAAATGAAGCGTAAATGGATCAAACAACTTTCACCGATGAGAAAATTAGATCTCAGATCATCCCGCAATGTGATCAAAATGAAGCGTATATTGCAATTGCCAAAATCATGATTCAGATCCCAAATTAATTCTTCAAAGAATGAAATGATTCATGAGTAACAAAATCAGATCTAACAGTAAAAAGAATAGAATGAAGATTAAATGGTATCAAAATGAGCATCCCGGAGAATGAAACGACAATGAGGGTAAGAAATGTATATGGTTATGGATGTGAAGCTGAAGATGTAATAATGGGTAATTTAAGAGTTTGAACAGATATTTTACTAAAAATGAGAATTGATTTTTCTTCGAGTGAGAATTGCAGATGTTCTTTTATTCGAATTGCATGTACTCAAGATTTGGAGAGGGAGGAAATTGTAATTCCGTTGAGAAATGAAGGGCTCGTGGGAAGCTGCAAGAGAAAAGTAGGAAGCCAGCAAAGCATAGTCGGGAAATTAGTTTGCCTGGTTGCGTTTGCCCTTATATGCCGATATTCCGTTTTTTTTTGAAAAAAAAAATTAAAAATCAATATTATTAAAATAAAATCAGAAAAATAGTTAATATGATAATATAAAACAAAGCGAAAATTGAAGGCATTTTCTTTTATTCATTATTCTACTTTTCTTTTTCTAGATTTATAATTTTTTAATTAAAATATTATTTCATACTTTGCTGTCAAGACGATCTGAAATTTTATTTTCAAAAATGTTCATTTAAAAATTTAATTATCAACCTTAAACCAATGGTATTATAGAACTTGTTATATTTTAAATTGAATAAATTAACACCTTATGTTATTTAACCACTTATTGCAAATATATATTTTATATAGTTGAACCAGACCTACAACTAAGTGAAACCAGTAAAAAATCAATTGAAAAATCGAAAATCATACAGAAATCATGATTGGACCGAACCAAACCCGATTGGAACCAAATCATTCACAAAAACCCTAAACAAGAAAATTCTAGAAACCCATTTTTTTAACCCTTTAGCGCCGACTTCAGCCTTTCACCAAGCTCCTCCTTTAGTTTTTCCGACCACCTG